TAATACTAATGCTGAAATTTATACAACAGCAGCATCTTCTCTGCACATCCGTGCATCATATCTGCCTCTGAAATTCTGCTGCATTATTTACTACTTGTGGGTTTGACTTCAATACCATCATAATGATAGGATCAACATTTCTAATTAAGGCAAAATTCATTCTTTTGCCTTAATTAGTGAGACCTTATAGTACAGATGTCACATTCTATTTTTGTGTTACCATTTCATGATGAAGTTTTAGCGATTTACTAAGATGTAAATACATACTTCGGTTTGAAATCTGGTCTAAATCCTTCAGGTAGTTGCAGCTGATCCATTTTTTCTGAATTACCAGAATTGCCTGTATAAACAAGAAGTAATAAAACACCGATAATTCACCTATATGTAATCTTTACATTATAAAAAAAGTGCAGGAGCACATCACCAGAAACTAATTCCAAGCTACTCTTGCCACTTTTGCCACCATCTCTCAATATCACTGTGGTAGAACCATACTACTTGGTCTTTTTCATGAACTGGGGTTGTTTAGCCTGGAGAAAGAGAGGCTGAGGCAAGACCTTTTCGCTCTCTACTACTACCTGAAAGGAAGTTGTAACAAGGCACTTGTTACTTGGGAGAAGAGACCAACAAGTGATAGGACAAGAGGATTGCACTGGTGGGGGTAAGGGGGTTTAGATTGTATATTAGGAAAAATTTCTTCAATGAAAGGGTTGTCAAGCATTGGAACAGGCTGCCCAGGGAAGTGGTTGAGTCGCCATCCCTGGAGGTATTTAAAAGACACATAGACATGGTGCTTAGGGACATACTTTAGTGGTCGACTTGGCAGTGTCAGGTTAACTATTGGACTTGATGATCTTAAAAGTCTTTTCCAACCTAAACGATTCTATGATTTTCACATACAAACACACACATTTCTTCAGACATACTTGCACAGTCTTCATCTCGAAGTAAATACAGTGCTTTTATTTGCTGGGATATTGTTTTGATCCACTGAGCTAGGTTTGGTTGGCCTGAAAAGTCTAACCTGTCCAAAAACATAGAAACAGAATACACACATTAGTTAAGAACAAACTATATACAGAATTAGTATTTCATAGGCATTTCATGTTGTTGTGTTTCTCAACAGGGTCCTTCTCTGTTGCCCGCATATTTCGCCATCTTCAGTTCTTTTCCTGCAGGTCCTACACTTCACTGTCCTTCCATACCCTAAGTTCCATACTATATAACAACCAAGGAAGGTCCATAAATCCAAACAAGCAGGCAGGCAATCCATTTGAGAGTATCAAAACAAGATAATAAATGTTTTGAAAGGGGATTTTGAGGTGTGGCTTCTTTAGGATTTTGGTTTTTACATTTATTGAGGACATTTATAAAGCAAACAGACCTGTTAAACAAAACTCTTGGTGGAGGAAGTAGAGGAATAACGGTGTTGCTTAAGCACTCACAAAGTGGGCAAAGGAATTCACCATTTTCTACATCATAACTTGTGTGTACTCGTAATCTTTGTTGTCTTCGTTGCTCTTTTGCTTGGACAGCATCAAAATACCTTTAGAAAAGAGCAAGATATTAGTGGCAAATTATTAAAACATTACTTTAACATATAAATTAATGAATTCTCATGAAGACACTGCTTTGCCTTTTCCCAGATATACATAAGAAAATTATCTGAAGGAAAAAGCTCTAGCCTCTGACTGATAAAGTACTATTAACTGCAGGCTATCCCTAGTTTTTGCCAGCCAAAATCCCCTCAAAGTGCTGAAGTTCATTGGCCTGTTGAAATCACATTTAAGTATGAACTTTAGCAATTTCCATTTATGAAAAAAGGTTGAGGGGGAGAGGTAGAGAGAATGTTGAAGGACTAAAAAAAAATTTCTTAATATTTTATGTAAAACTTAAGGGAGGTGCCATGAGCATTATCCACATGCATATTCCATTACAGGTCACAACATAGCAACAAGGGGAAAAACTGGTGGCTGATGTCTGAGTCCTATGTGAATAGGAACTGAATTCACTGCTTTGCTAAAAATAACTGCTATTCCAGAAGCCTCTGGAATGGTTTAGAGCATGCCCAACAATGCCCCAAATTGGCCTGAATAAAGGCATCTAAGGACCTTTCCAGGAGTTAGTGGCAACCACACAGGACTGTACACGAACTACACAAGAAGATGAAGAACGCATCTTCAGTGAGCAGTGATATCAAAGACCACAAATGAAACCTGCATTAATAACCACTGCATGGTTATGGCCACAGAGTCTCTGAGAGCTCCTGTGAGTCTTGACACACAAGGCAGAATTTGAAACCAGGCACTTGAGGAGCCATGCCAAGGACCAAAGCAAGGGCCTAATCAAACTCAGAGGTTTGAAGGGTTTGCATTTGTCACATGGCATTGGCACCACATAGCACTAAGCATGTTTAGCCCCCTCCAAAAATCAAAGGATAAAAATGACTGAAAAAAAGTTTTATTTAAAAAAACAACTAAGAACAAAGGATAAAATTGAGTTTATGTTGAAGATGAGCTTGAGCTAGGTCATAGATGTGTCTACTTCGAATTAAACATGATGGAGGAATTAAGAGTGCAAAGGATACACTGTCATTTAAAACTTCAGTAGAGAGTACAAGAAGCAGCAGGAGAACATCTATTACTGAACTGCAAAAAACTCCCAAAACATCTAAGATTCAGTGCGCAGATATACGTGCGCCACAGAGGATTATGCACAGTGATAAGCCAAAGGGAATGAAAGCTGTCATGCGCGGCTTTGGATTCTTCTTTACCAAGATGACAGATAGTAAATGAAAATTCTTTTGAATGTGTTTAAAGTACGTATTATAATGATTTCTACTCCTCACTCCCAAACGGAAAGCTGTTTTAATCACTTCATGACGTTCCTTTTTAAGTTTACTACACAGTAGTAATTTTGCCATTAAAATTAATGCCATTCAGCAAATGGATGGCATGGCATGCTATTTGGACTAAAAATTTAAATATAGCTTTTTACCTTTGCCAACAATGAGCATGCATAATATGTCCACAGCTACCTGTGTGAGTTCCACATGACAGATCTGGGTGCATGAATAATGGATCATACTTTTCTGTATTTAAAATAAAACAAAACAACTTTGAAATAAGCATTTATCAAAAGACTTAACTGCAGATAAATGTTACCCCATTTGTGTTATTAAACTTTATCGCAACTCATTTGATGAAGCATAAAACCTATTACTAATCCACAACAATTTAAACTGCTTACATCATTTACAAGTATCATGTAATTTTGTTTTGAGCATATGTACTGTACTTAGACTTCAAACCAAGCTTTTGGATGTGCCGAGCCCTGATAAAAGTCCCCGAGATCTACCTGCAGTTGTGGTGGTTCAGTGCCATTAAACAATAGGTCCAAGAACATTAATCTTCAGAGTGAGAGTACAAAATTTTTCAGTGCAGAAATTTTCCGTGTGTTTACATATACAGAATCCAGAGAAAACTTTCTAACAATGCCACTGATCACTGATCTGTTTCAGAAAGTAACCTACATCCAAGCATTTTTTATTATCGCTAAGAGACAGTTCAGATCATACAACTGAGAGGTAGGAATTGTATATCTTGTGCTTTTACAGCACTACATCAACACCTCCTCTCTCTATAATGTTATGGGCATAGTTTAAGAACAAACACTTCTGATTTTAAAGTGTTTTTTAATAGTTATAAATAATTTGTCATAAATGGCTGGCAGAGCATTTAGGTAATACTTTGCAGTGATTTTACACACACATTTCTGCCTCAGTAAAATGTGAGAGTTTTGCCACTGATTACAACAAAGTCATTGACATCTATACAGTTAACATAAGGTGACGCTACTGTCTCAAAAGAAAACATGCAGTTGTTACAGTGACTCCAACATTCACTAAAGACAACTATGAACACTACTTACCAGGGTCTGGAATAATTTTGTTTCTATTTTTAGACAACACAGTTGATCGCTGAATAAATGCTGCCAAGACCATAGCCCTGCTGTCCACTTTAACTTCTTGTTCCTCCTGACACAATATACACATAACAACCTGTCTGTGTTCAGCTACTCTAGTTTGCTCTGGTCCCAAGGCTGTGAGTTTTGCATCTGAAATTACAGGGCTGGAATATTCAAAGAATACTAGTGAGCAAATTATATGAAAACCATTACAAATCAGATCACGATTTATGTGTGATTAATGAGCTTTCTAGCTTTATGATAAATGCTCTCTGACAAAAGGGTTTTGGCATTTATACAACAATTCCTATGTCCCCAGAAATAGAACATATTTTCCAGAAAAAATTGATACCTCCCCAATAGTAGTACCCACTCCAGTTTAACACAGAAGCTAGATCTGTGACCCTCCATCATCACCATCCCTTAAGCATCTGACATAAACTCTGAAAACACTCTCCACTTCCCCATAAAAAAAAATTAGCACGCTTCAATTCGTATTTCCAGCTACAAGGAGATTTTCTTCCAGATCCTCAACAGACATATAATCAGTTATATCCAATTTACTATGTTTAATAGCATGGTCTCTTCAGTATCATTAAAAATTTACTGGATGATTTTAAACAGGGAAACAATTTTTTCTGTATGTTGAGCACTATGAGGATGGGATGAGGGAGAAAATATCTATCCCACCGTCTTGACAGAAAGAGAGATGAAAACATTCCACTTACTGCTGCTTTTTCGGTCTCAAACTTATGAATAGTTTTCCACCAAGACTAAAAAAAGGGCTTTTTTTTAAGCAGTACCAATAGGACGATCTGATGTAAAAGTTAAAGGAAAAAAATTTAAATGACATTCCTTTACCTATTTTCATGTACTCCAGAGGTTGAAGTATCTAGCTCCTCCAAAGTCTGCTGAAAGAGTTCTTTGTTTTCATTAATGAAGTGCCGTTGCATCTCAGACATCTGGGCCATGATCTTTTCCCTGCGCAATCTGGCAATCTCAGCTTTTCGCTTCCTTTCAGCTTTGTCTTTATCACGCGAACTCTGAAATGGTATTGTTCACTCAGTCATTTTTAAAGTCTTGTTGCAACAGACAATTTATTTTAGCTATTACTATGTGTAGCTTGTACTAGCCCCCAAACAATGAAAATCTCATAGAAAGACAAAAGAAAAGGCTACAAAATTATTTTCTGCCCTTTTTTTTAAAAATTCATTCAATGCCAGGTAGAACTGCAGATCCAGAACAGTACCTCTCCCCCTCAACCTTTAACTGTATTTTGTATTTTTCTTCCCTTTGAGTATTTGTAAGATAAAAAGGTAAGTTAGCACGGGTCTCGAGTGCTGCTCTCCCTCCATACTAGCTGTATTCCTAAACGCACTACAGTGCTCCAAGGTGTCTGGGTAGTATCTAGAACATCATGTCAAGCTAAATGAATCAGGGGCAGAACTTGTCTGGAATGACCTGCATGGTAAAAACACATAGATACCATTTCTTTTAACAACCTTCCAAAGAGTCAGAAATTACGGGAAGAGCATAACCATTCAATGCTCTGATCAGTACTACAACAGGTCTAAGCAGTAAACTTGCAAAATATTTGGAGACTACAATATATAAAGCAAAGAAAAATATTCCAGGGACTCTCCCAATAGGTCTTTCAAACAAATGAGTTTGATCCATAAGCTGAGACAGAATTTCAGAAACCACTGATGTTTCCCATCTTTGATTTACAGCTGCAATTAGAAAGATAGTCCTTTGCTAGTTACAACCCAGACCTGTTCCAGACCAGCTAACTGTTACAGCTTGCTTTTACCTCCTCCATAATATTTCCTTCTGCCTCAGCCACAGGACTTGTAGAAGAGCTTTCTCTTAGTTTCTTAATAGTATTAAAAGTCTGTAAGGAAAAAAAAAAAACAAAACAAAAAACCAACACTTAATTTGTTTGTGACCTGTGAATATAACTGTGTATACTATAGTGCTGGCCAGATAATGCACAGTGTCGGATTCCAGAAGAAGAACAGAGTAGGTACAACAAATCAACATGGGAAATAAGGAAATCACAATATAATTAGGAAAGTTTCAAATCTTATTTCCATAATTTTCACCAGTTGTATAAAACAGATTTACCTTCAATATCCATCTGATCATGTCCTTGTGCACTTCCAGATGAGGTGCATTTTGCAGTGTTTCCAGCATAGCTAGAATACTAGGGGAATTATTGGGTGCCTCTCCTGGTCCTGAGAAAAAATTATGATGACAATTGATTATACTGTTACCTGACAAACTACCATTAAAAACAACAACAACACCCAACACTTCCATATGTTCAGTAGCTGAAGAATTCCTTCAACAAACAGGCACAATATATAACTATCATTCCCACACAAATATTTTCATGAACACCCTCTAAATCCTGAAAAGTTAGAGGAAATAGTCTTACAAGTCTTGCTCGCTGACTATTTTCTTACAAGACAAAAGCACTGTATGTGCTCCCTGGCTGTTTTCATCTTGGGAGCTGCCATGTAGAATTTCCAATATTTTATTTCCCACCTATTTTAAATGGAAGAGTCTTAGCAACTTTCATGTCTTAGCAAAATAGAGGCACCAGTCAGAAAAATGCAAGGGAGAGTCAAGATTAAAAGACCATTTAAGAAAACAACTACAGCTTTTGCAATTGTAGCACCTGATCAGGTACAGCAATCTTTGTTGAGATGCTACTTAAAGATACTAAGAATCAGATTTACTGGGAATTATTCTACATCTGTATTTCTCCTCTAGAAAAGGCCTTTGGTACTGCTACTATCATAGAAGCTACACATACGTAAAGCACATATGTAGAGTCAACTTGGTAAAATTTTGATGGGTAAACAAATATACTCTTCTGGTAAGTACTGTTTCAGAAGAAGAAAATATGAGATACTGGCATTTTCAGTTACTTAAAATTTGCTATACATTTGAAAGGAAAGGCATACTTGATATTTTCTGAGTGAAGGTAAATGTTACAACATTCTCCTCATTGAGATTCTCCAGATGTTGTTTTTCTTCTTGTAGCGCCATTCCAAGCAAATGCAAGACCTAGGTAAAAGAATGCTTGTAATCCTTTATATAGTTTGGGTAAAACATCAAGAAACAAGAAAGTCATACAATATAATTATATAAAAAAGAATATACGTGAACCTATTTCTACACAGATAATTCCAAAGCCATTTTACACAGGAATACCAGTGTTTGTTTACAAATTCTTGAAACTTTGCCAAATATAAGTCACATTATACCACTTGTGTCTTTCTGTTTGCTGTTCTGCCTAGCGAGTGAAGTCAGTGCCTCTTAGCTTTCTCCCTAGCAATTGCACGTTATTATTGCAAGTCTCTGGACAGAAGCATGATGCGCACTTTAAATCCTTTTTATGCACAAAATTTAAAACTGACAAAATCTAACTCAGTCTATCACATCTATCTAATAAGGTCTCATCAGATATAGGCCACCTCTTCTAGATGCTTTATGTCAACCTTTGCATGGTATTTCCAAGACGAGAGTGGTTAACTTGGAAAAGGTGCAGTCCAACTGCACGGCACCAGTGAATACAAAGCACTGTTTCTGAGCAAGCGAGAGGTCCCTAACGAACCGCGCATTTTGGAGAACAACACAGAGGTACTCAAACGGCTGAGCATGTTTTAGTTCGGCTTCAAAAAAATAAAATAAAATCTTATTCTACTCAAACAGTTATTCCAAAGATGAGCATTCTCACATCATCTAAATGTAACCCCATTCTTCAACTTTTCGTGTGATTTATAATACTGATACATCGTTCATTTTCAACTTCTTATGTTATACAGAATTGCTTATGTGAATTTAAACTTAGCTATAAAAGGCAATATACACTTTTGACTGACTGTCAAAAAGTTAAAAAATTAATACTCCATTTCAGAGCTGGGGTTTTATTTCAGAATGTTATTTAAAAATCCATCAATATTTTTGAAAAGTTTGGGATTGAACAGTAAACCAACAACCTGACCCACATGAACAGCCCTTTGATGGAGTTCACCACTTATCTCTGCACACCCCAGAAATTGACCATCACTACAGACAACAAATCTACAGTAAAACTCCAGGTTTCTGAAGATCATTATAAATAGTGAGAAGCAAACAGCTCTCCTGAGTTTCCCAAAACTGATACATTTTCAAGTTAGAAAATAATTTTCTGTACTTTTATAATATTTTCTAAATTGATTTAGCCTAAACTGAATATAAGCAAAAGGAACATCAATGTGCTCTACTTAATATGCAACAACTCAGACAAACTGGTTCTTTACGACAATGAAGACTACTTCAACGGATTCAAACGGCATTCTTCCCTCTCATGTGCATTCCATTAGAAATTTCCCTCTGTCTTCCACAGACTTTTAAAAATAAATTGCATCAGAGGCAGAGTGGTTTCCTTAGTCTTGTGTATCAGAAAACACTATTTATTTCTCAGAGTATTCTGGATATGTTAGATAACAAGTATACAACCCAAATCTATAAACTCATGATAAAATGCTAATATACATATTCCTTCCTTCAGCACAAGCATAATTTTAAACAAGGAGACATACCCTTTGCAGCATGGACTCTGACCAGGTATAGCCATTGTGTTCTACTGCCCATTGCAGTATAGTTCCCATAATGCACAGCATGACATCAGATTGCAGAATATTAACCAGACTTGCAAAAAGCGGGCAGAAAGGAGGAAGAGCTGGCGGTGGAAGTGCTGAAAGGGAAATTTTTGTGTTTGACATTTCAGCATCTCTAAAATTGCAACACCCATATAAAACATCTGACTTTCAAAGAGCTTAACAGCTTAACCCAAGACAGTATACAGTTGCTTCATAAACAGTATTACAGATAACAGGCTGTAACATTCCACATGGTTTGCATGTAACAGAAAAGCCACAGGAATGAGCTGTTCATGGAACCGGCCTTCTGATGGATGAGATTGCTGTCTCTAACCAGGGAAATGTAAGGGAAATTGCTACATTTTCAACCAATTTCTGGCTAGCCCAAGAACAGGATGTTAGTCTAAGTGTCAGGGCAATACACAGGTTGATAGGTGCTTCCCTCTTCTCCCGTCTTCTCTCAAAGAGAAATACCTGTATCTTCTCTGTTCTGTCTTTTCAGCTTTCTTTGTGCTTCCTCTGCCTGAAATAGAAGAATGATGCCAATATTACTCAAGGCCTGTACAAATATAAAACTAATAAAAAAGCATTCCT